CAACGATTTAGGAATATCGCAACCATCAGTCAGCCGTGCCATAAACCAAACCATCAACGCGCTCTCTAGACCACATATCATCCAACAGTTTATCCGGTTTCCTTTGGACAATCAACAACTACACAGGATCAAAGCCAACTTCATGGCAATTGCAGGTATGCCCGGTGTGGTCGGTGCTATTGACGGGACGCACATAAAAATAATTGCGCCATAAAAAGATGAGGACGTGTTCGTCAATAGAAAGAAAGTACATTCCATCAACACGCAGATTGTTTTTCATTCATCATGATAGGGGACTTGAACGGCGGTATGGGCTGTTATTGAAAGTGTTTAAGTGCTGGAAATATGCTCATTGGATAATAGTTTGCAGGGTGCTTTTAATTGCCCCCTTGATTTAATGCAATTTACGTATTTGTATTGTTTGCTCTCTCTTTAACGTGCATATACAACGTCATTATCGTGGTCTGCACAAACTTGTCATCATGCGTGTATTCTGCTAACTGCACTGTCCATAACTATTTGATAGGAATACATTTCTAGCCTAGGCTATTTCCTTGTTTTAGTGGGCTCGTTTGTGGGATGTTGCGGATGAGTTTCACCGAGACCGCCTGCTCTGAACAACCAATCACCGTACTGACCGCTTCTAAACTCATGCACGAGAATCGACGTAATCCATAGCAACGGCGCGTCACTCTTAGTTCACTCTTAGTGATTTATCCTTAGTACGAGTAGGTCTCAGCGGCTTTGTGAATAACTTTTAAGAAAAAACTCCTACGTAAAATGTTTTAGCGCGAGTTAGGAGCACTCCTAGCGGTAAGATAAAATGCTTTGTGAATACGGCCCCTGGTCTCTACGTCACAGATAATAAGAAAGGGATGGGGTAGCGGTGTGATGAGAGGGAGTTAGTCAAGAAAAAGGACATGCACGGAAGAAATACAATTGAAAGTCTACAGACCTTTGCGTCCATTGATATCTGCCTCTGTGAATGAAAAATGTTGCCAAACATTCAAACAAATGGGACCCACCAAGGGGTGTTTTCAGAGTCTTATCCAAGCAAATAAAGCCTGGAGTAAACTATAACAGTACAAGAATGAAGTTCAGGAAACAGCCGGGACAAAGTTATTCAATATAGTTCAGGAGGGATCAGTTCAATAAAGATGATCGTCCAGTATGAACTTAGCTACTTCTTCTTTATCTTACTTGTACTCTATACAATGTTTTTGAACTGGTATGGGGGAAAAAACATATCCATGTAATATTGTAGATATGTAATGTGAGCGTGTGTGTAAGTCCACTGACCTTTCCCCGGGTCTCCCTCTATTTGAGGGATGCCAACATAGACCATGACGTTGACGGCATCAGAGACATCCAGATGGAGATTCGTGGTTCCCACCTTCCTGTCTTCAGAGGAGGTCAAGCCTGAGGGAAAGAAGGGAGTGAGGGGTTGAGAGCGAGATAAAAGTGAAATAGTAGGAGGAGGAAAAAGACATGAAACGTCTAACTAAGGTGACAGGGGTTCTGCCAAGTTTCTCACCATAGGCGTTATACATCTTAGGTCCAAGATCAGGACGCACAAAAAAGTTGGGCAGACGGGCGGCGAGGTTTAAACGGCCGTCTCTTTTTGTGTACTCAGGCAAAGGGAGGTTATCCATCAGATCATCAAACCTGGCCAAGTGTGAAAGAATGTCCACAAATGAGATTGTATTGTTCCACAAAAACAAACCAAGACCCAACTCGCTTCATAGTTTTGTTTTTAAATTACAAAAATGGGCGCAAAATAAAAAGGTGATTGTTACACATTTGAACAAGTTAGTATAAGTGCATGCATGTAGAAAACAAAGAGGTACAAACCATCAAATTACAGGGAAACTAAATGCTAACATTATTAATCTAATAATGGGTCAAATGACTATTAATGAACCCAGATTCCACATGATGACCTTTTGGTTAAAGTATACATATTATAAACTCATATGATATAGATTATAATACATATAGTAAGTAAACATATATATTTGTAAAGACCTTTGGGAATGAATCTTGGTTTAGTTAGTGAATGCATAAAAGAAGAAACATATTTGTGGGTGTCTCACCTTGTGGGCATCATGTCCCTGAAGTCTTCACCTGGAGGCCAATCCTTTAATTTTAATACCATGGGCTGGCCCTCAGTGTCTTGCAGTCGCTCTGCATTCACAGAAAAAACACATTAGGTATCATTTCTGAGTGAAACAGGGGCTAAAACATAACATGGACTTCATTTAAAAATTGTTCACTTACTGGAGATGATCTCGAAGCCGTCCCAGAAGTCTCGTACCTTCACATCAGAGATGATAGCACAGTTTCTACAGTTGACCAGGTCCACATCCTGGTCACCAAACTCCCTACTGAAAGCATCAGGCCGCCACAGATTCTCTTTCAGCCGTTTATGTATCCCCGACACCAACACCGGCTGGATAAAAGACAATAGAAAAGACAGTTGATCAAGGAGTAATGTTTCAGTCAAACCTTTCTAGTTCATCTCCGTCATGGTTCTGCCGGAGATGCCTCGGGCGTTACACTCATTGTTGCTCTTACTTGTCCCTGCTTCCAGCACTCTCTGAAGATCTTCCAGTTGTTGCTGTTGCTGGGGTCCTGTAGGCAGAGGAGTCGTCCGTCACAGAGCCAGGAGTGGGAGGTGTGTGGTTCCAAAACACTCAGGCCCATGACTCCGTCTTTGCGGCCCCCCAACACCCCGAGCTCTCCGCCCTCAGAGGCCCCGGTCCGGCGGCCTTCTGCTTTCTTGGTCTCCACGACCGAAGCGATGATGTGATCCAGGAAGTTCGGGAGGCTGCTCTTCAGCTTGTCACTCTGGCAGACATAAAAACACGTTTTTGATTACTTAGCAATGCATTTATACGCGCAGCTAAACAGACCGAATAACCGTTAGACATCCTTTGAGTAAAGCCTCATATTTTCAGAGTTAATGATCTGCTTTATTACGACGCTCATAACCAGCAGAAATACAATTTAAAATCTATAAATGTATTCTTTACATTACATCTCCTTATACTTAGGCTACACAGATACAATTACACTTTTTACTTAAAATGTAATTTGGTACTATAAAACACTTTCACTATTTAATAATGCATGCACTGTGTAAAGAGTGATTTAAACTGTTTTCATTTGAAATAAACCTGATCTGTTCTTCAATCAGAAACTGGTCTTACTGACAGTCTATTTAGTATGGTGTAATCCCATACCAACAAGAGTGTCAGTAAGACCAGTTTCTGATAGAAGAATAGATCAGGTCTAATACAAATCAGAACCTACACGGAACAATACAAGCTTTCTACATACCCCTGCTGAGGTAAAGACAGAGGGGAAAGGCACCCCGCTCTCCCCAGGCCCCTGGGGGAGTTTCCCCGGCCCGGAGTTGAGCAGGTCCCGGAGACTGGAGCCCTCGGGTTTGGACTGGGCCATGCTGGAGCCCAGCAACAGACTGTTAAATAGCTTAGGACTGGAAGCAGAAGGCTTTGAAAGGGCACTGAGTGAGTCCAGGCCGAAGTGAGGCCGGCTGTTTTGACTCATCATGGAGCGGAGGGAACCAGAATCTGGAAGAAAATGGCAGACGGATGAGGATGGAACTTCAACGTTGATATTGATCTTTGTGCTTTTTCTACGCACTCAGATTACAGTGACTCAGTCTTTCCTCCTTCCTACTCACCCTTGGTGTCATCCTTGGCTTTCTGTGTGGCCAAGTCTGCCAGCCAGTGCAGAGCCGAGCTGTTGCCCTCCCCTGCTGAGCGCGACTCCTTGGCAGTGGACTGGGTGTGGTTACAGGGGGAGGATGTACCACTGGTGGAGTTACTGATACTGCCAACATTTTCTCCTCCCCCGCTGTCTGATGGCACTGCTGTTTGTGCAGTTTCTGTTTTGACTGCTGATGTTTCTCCCTCTGATTTTGGGGTGGTGCCAAAAGCCGAAGCCGCAGCGAGGACCCCACTACTGCTGCTTGATGCAGACTGCTGAGAAGAGCACAACCAGACGTTAGTCTTCATCTTAAACCCTGCTCACAATGCAGGAATGGAGAAATAAGAGAACAGCAGTACCTGTGGAATCCCATTCGGGGCACTCGGGCGTACTAGAGACTTGGTGTGTCGGCTGGTGCAAGGACAATTGGCCTTAATACCCCACTTGCCTCTCGCCGAGTGCACCATGTCGCCAATGCTGTAAAGAGCTTAAGGAGAAAGGCAGAAAGTAAATAATTACACCTCTTGATGATCTAATACAAGATCATACATAATCACTTGATGCTTGTGCGGTGGGTTTTGATGATTCCATCATAATGTTCATGTTACCTGTCCCAGGTATTATCTGTGTAGGCATGAGGTTCTGTGGCTCATGGGGTTGGCCCTTGGCACACTTTAACCAAGAGAAAACCTCATCCTCAGGCCTTTCATCTACATCTGGAAGAAAGAACATATACACCTTTGTTTTTTCAACGCACTCAAAACAACCACACAAAGTATTAACCGAGTTAAGATTTTCTTCCCATTACTGTAACAAAATAAAATGATGCTATAATATAGAGCAGGTTTGGTTGGCTCTAACATTTTCTTTATGGTTTATGTAATGACTCACCCTCCCTTGGCCTGTTCCTGCGGAGCCGATAGCAGTCCAGACACACTCCAAAGCCACACTTACGACACACCCAGTGGATGTTGAAGAGCGTGGTCTCACACACGTCACACATTTCTCTGACACCGCGCACTGCTCGTTTCCATGCCACTTTCTCTGAAGGACAGCCCAAAAACAAAACAGGCTTATAGACACTTCTGACAGTGTGAGAGACAAAATGAAAAGACAAAATAGCACACTACATGTGAATACAAAAATGTCTTTATACTCACGGTGAGGCTCCACCATCATCATGGCCTCCTTCTCAGACATGACCAACTGGCAGAACTGGTCTCCCACATTGGCCAGGATGTACTTGGATGTGTCGAGGTCGAGGCCCTCTTGGACGGCGGGAGCAGGTAGCCACAGACCCATGGCCATGGAATCGCTCTGCTGCGGACTCAGGAAGCCTTCTACACGCAGTATACCTTTCCGAGTGAAAGCCAACCTGGTCACAGGGAGAAAAAAAAATGGTTGATTCTGTAAAACACTGTTGAACGATTAAGGATTGCTTCCTCGTTTCGGATAAATATATATCATTTTCTCATTGACGCTCATAAACAAATTGTACGGCTGTACAAAATATAAATGTGTACCTTCTGAAGTGGAAGAACCGACAGGACACATTTGGGTCGTCGTCGTCGCTGTCTTCGCCTGTAGTACGATATTTACGGTAGCGCTCCAGGCGGCACTCGCGGCACTTGTGCAAGTGAGGGGCCACATTGATGCAGGAGCCGTCCTGGAGGAAGGACTCGCCAGACTGCTTCAGACGCCGGACTTTGCTCTGGTCTTTCAGTACAGACTGGCCCACTGCAGGAGACAACTTGGCGTTAATTCTAATGCTCAGTTTGTAACAATTAACAAGAAAGAGACCAGGTACTTACCTTTAAAAGGCTTGTTACGTGGACGCCCCTTAGCTACCCCCTGGACCTTAGTTTTCTGCAACATGGCAGCATCCTTGACAGGGAGTGGTGGTCGTCCTGGGATCTGGCCTTTCTCTGGGCCCTCTTCATTCTCACTCAGGTCTGACAGGTCACTGTTGCAGCTGGAGTCACCAGAGTCACGTTTGGACGATTGGCCCCTGTCCTCCAGGGAAAACTTCTGAGACTGGCTCTGGTCAAAGGACGCCGGGACATCTTCTATTCCACCTGGGCCGGTGCTCCCAAACAAGGGGCATGCTGAGGTGGATGAAGGCATCTCTCCAACTTCCTGCTCCTCCTTTGCCACAGTCCCTTCACTCTGTGACCTCTGTGATGAGGTCGGTACTGGTGAAGACGAAGAGCTGGGTGACGCAGCTGCTGAGGGTGCTGGGAAAGGGGAAGACAGAATCCCCTTAGGTGGCTCGGCCATAGTGAACAGGTTTGGCTTGCTGTCCGAGGCAGAACCAAGGGTCTGTGACTCGGCCCCTGAGAGGCCAGCAAAGGAGGTGTGGGCAGTTTTGTCCCCATATGCCAGAAATGGATTAGCAGGCTCTTTGGAGGCCTGCAGGAAAAGGTTCTGGTGGCTATCTGAAGTATTAAACCCAGATTGCAGTCCTAAGCCTCCCACAGAAGTCCCATTATTACTGCTCTTCTTAGAAGTACTTTGAGCTCCAGAGGCTGCAGGGAGACCACCGATGCTCAGACCAGGGCCTCTTCCTCCTGCAGAGCTAGCCATGCCCTGGAAGGTCGGTGACGATTTATTGAGCACACCATTTCCCGCTGAATGGGTCTCAGGCACTTTGGGCTGCTCATGCTTTTTCTGCCCTTCAGTGGAGGCTGTGGACTTGAAAAGGCTTGGGGGCTCCTTACTCAGGCTCTCAGACACTGCGGTGAAATAATTGGTATCCTTGGACTGCGTCTGACCAGCAGCTAGGCTTGGGCTGGACCCAGAATTCTGAGTCATGCATTGAATAAACAAGTTTTGGTCTTGCTTGGATTGAGTCTCATTCTTTGCCCCTCCAAAGCCGAAGCCAAAGGGCCTGGGAGTATCCTGGGAGGCTGTGGTGGTGGAAGGAGCTCCATTGGTCTGAGAGGGTCCAGTTTGGGGCATACGAAAACCTGACGCCGTTTTGGAGCCCTAAGAAACAAAGCAATATGACAATTTGAAATAATGTTACAAAACTCAAATGACTTGCAAAGGCTTAACCTAATGGTATGACTATATTGATCGTCTTACCTCAGTCTGGCTTCCCCAGGTGGGGGCTTTAGGAGTAAAACCCACAGACGCAGAGAGTGCCACACTGGGGCCGCTGTCATGCGACCAAGAAATGGTGACAGGGCCCGGGGAAACAAGAGCAGCTGTTTTGGAATAAGCTGATTGTGAAGCCTCCTCTCGGTCGGTTTGGGGGGTTGGGGAGGCCTTGGGGGCTGGAGCTCCGGGGACCAGGCTTGGCATCTGGCCTAGTGAGGGAAAAGACGTGGTGGAGAAAGGAGAGGGGGCTGGTTTGAGGGGAGGAGGAGTGGGAGTGTGAGTAACGGCGGTAGTGGAGTCTGCTACACCTTGTGTGGAGAGTGGGCGACCGTTTTCTTTCACATGGGCAGGAAAGCGAGAAGGGGTGGCGTTCGATTGGTCCATCTGAAGTGAGGAGTTAGTGTTGGGGGACGACACTCTGCCTTGAGGAAAGGTTCTTTCTGACGAGCTTCCGTTTTTGGTCGTGCTGCTGACCCTTTCGCCGGAGTCTCCGCCCCAGATCCCCATCCCTTCTGCTGCTGTTTTGTTGAAGTCGCCGCAGCTTTGCCCATCAGCTGCCGTATCGCCTGCTCCTTTAAAACGCTTCAAGTTCAAGTCATCCTCGCCCTCGGACGCAGTCCTACGCCTGCGCCCACTGTCACCCTTCATTGTATCACTGTCCTTTCTTCGCCGCCCATTCTTACCAAGTCAAAAAGAAAGGAAATGTTAGAAAGTCATAATGCACGTAATACTATCTATCTGAAGCTGAAAGCCCCTCAACAATATACACAGTGCAGTAGAACCAATTACAGAGTAAAATAAGATGTATAACATGACAACCGTACCTCCTCCTCTGCCAGCATGACATGTATCACACGAGGATCTACCATCTGGGTTTCGTCTCCCTACAACAACAAAAAGGTACATATTTTATCATCATGACCAGAATATATTTTTAGAAAATATGGCTTGTAAACATCTATCCCGTTTCTTATAAATACAAACACCAAGTAAGGCAATATGGTCATCTGAACAGCCGAATGTATCTGTTGTGAACGTGACTTAAGATTAACCCCTATAATGTCAAAAATAGTTTTTAGTTGTGTTTTGATCTATTGATTTTTAACACATCAAAGTTAGACTTGTAACAATAATCCCAGTGTTATTCACCTTATCTAAGGTAATCTCCATGATGTGTGAGATCGGATCGTGCTGTGAGACCAGTCCTGAGGCCCAGTATTCTTCAAACTCTGGCTGGTACACACGAACCCTGCGTCCTTGAATGGTGTAGGAACCTAAAAGGCAGGAACAGGGAGTAAAGAAGGAATTATATTTTGGCAGATTATTATTACAGTTATTCCAAGGTTGCTAATGCTAAATTCCCAAAAAGAAATGAATGAAACCTTGAGATTCAACACTTTAAGAACATATGGAGGTAGTAAAAGAAAAGAACATAAAAAACGGGTGACGGTTGAACTAACCCTTCCTGAAGATCTCCTGCAGTTCAAAGTCAGTACGCCAGCTGGAGACGGCAGCCTGCAGGGAGGGCTGCTCCAACAGCAAAGGGTGTCTCAGGTCTTTGTCAACCTGCACAAACAACCACGCCCGTAAAACATAGTGATGGTGGAACAGCAATAATGTAAAACCTCACACTGAATAATGCAGGAAAGAACACCAGCACTATAACTAACAACTGCAGGTGATAGGTGTCATTCGTTTTTGGGTAATAACTAATGTCCTTTTCATGAAATTGTAAACTATCTCTGATAAGTACGTAACAGAAGCTCTTAATTTACACTCAAATGAAACAAAATCCCAATTGTGATGCTGAACAAGTAGATATGTTATTTATTTCGTTATTCTAAAACCATTCTAGAAAAATATGTTATATGTAAAATGACTGATATATTATGAACTAGTCATTTAAGGCGTAACACACATTGTAAAGCTGACGTACACACCTCAAACCTCTGAAAAGTTTTGTTATCAGACAAGAATTCAAAATTCTTGTTTCCAAAATACTCCACAGGAACAACCGATCCTAAACCCACTCTGTCCACCAGGGAACGGAAGACCTGAGGAAAAAGGGTGCAAATCTTAGATTCTTCTGAATATTTCCATTTCCTTCAATAGCACAGATGTAACGGGAACATCTAATTGTACATCTCAAAACAATGCAGCTAACTGGACTCTATCTAGGCTAAATAAACAATGATGGTCTTCATGTCTCAAACATTTTGGTCATGTTACAGTGAGTCATATCTGATTCAAAAACAACTACGGTATTCCAGTTAGTTAGACATTTGTTTTTAGCCACCTCTATGTGTGGGTGGCCCTGGACAGTTAAAATCATATATAAACTATATCAGGGTTTAGTGCAAAGTGCATGTTCCCCTGTGGGGTTTGAGATGAAAACATGTTTATATTATAAATCTAATCTGTGCGACAGCTGCAAAAATTAAATAGACTAATTTCACATTTTGGGGGGAAGTTGCCTTTTACTTGGCCTAGCTACTAACGCTTCAGGGTGTGTGTGGCAACAATTATTCATTTTCCAGCACATCCTTGACAAAAAACATTGCTGATATTGAATTTGTGTTCCTTTAAATGAGCTAATAATCGTTTGCTCCTGATGTCTATTCCCCCTGTCAGCAGGTAATTCAGATTGTTTCAAAGCTAGACTTGTTTGCATGATGCAGACGGTCGCACTGAGCACCCACCAGAGCGGGCCAGGCTGCGGAGGATGTTGGGGCCCCGGCAGTCCCAGTGCCATCACTTCGATTGGCCCAAACAATGGAGTCCTCCACCAACAGTGCTTTCACCCCCTTGTCATACACTTGCACCCAAGAACAGCTCTGCACCACATTTTCAAACTCCACGAATACCTGCAGTCAGAAAAACAGAGAGAAGCAGAACATAAACAAAAGGACTGCTCACCAACCGTAACTTTAGAACATGTTAATTAAAAATGGTGGAAATATGTTCAGAAAATGTTGAATGTTTGTTCAAAGAATTTACATTCTACCGTTTATCTATGCCAAAAATGTCAATGGGACAATAGATCACATATAACTAACTTTGTATATTTAATGCTGATAAGACTGTAAAGGGGCCCCTTAACTGCTCGAGCAAGAGTTGGGTAGCACTAGCATAGAACTACAATTTGACTCTGACTGGTTGGCCAATGGCCTGTCAATCATTACTCACAAAGCTACTTTAACATAGTCCATTTTCGCTTCAGTTATATTACATTTAGTATGTTAAATGATATGATTTTTTTTATTTATTTCTCGCATCAATATCAAAGTCTTTTAAAATATGTCATAGCCTGAATATTGGAGTTCAACGTATATAGCTGTGTGGTTGTGTCTAAACTCTGACTGTCTGTCTTGTAGTATCTGCTGGCCACTGAGAAGTCCATGGGGTAGTTTGGGGGATAGATTCACATGACAGTCGCTCTTTTTTGAAAAACGCAACCCTCTCTTTAATTTGAATGAAGCGATTGGTCAGCGCATCTGGGGTGCCACTGCCCATGGAAGAGGCGGCGGCCAAACAGCGCAGGGCTGATCAGCTGAAGAACAAAGGTTTGCAGAGTAAAGATGATTACAAACCGTTGTGGCGTCTGGTAAATCTTTACCAACTAATCTGTTGTTTAAACAAGACTTCCCAGATAGTTTGTTATGACTCATGGTTCAACCACAAGCAAGACTGGTATGCATATGCATTGATTCACTATGGAAAAATAAACTGAACAATGACACTTGTTTGACCAAAGTTTTAAAGTCTAAATTAACTTCTACACAAAGTGAACCTGATTCTCCTCATGAAATGCATGGGATATGTGTACTGTTATTGACTTTGATCACATTTACTGAGGACACCATGACACCTCCTATTTATCAGTTATAAAGTTGATGGCAGAGGTTTAATATACTTTGTGCTTGAGTGAAGAAAAAACAGACACATTTAAGCTTTAGGCTACAATTGTTCTTTTTAAAAGCTGTGAGAAACAGACTGGACTGTTATCGGAGTGTGCCTGTCTCACACCCCCACCCTGTAGCTGTTATTGGTTAACAACATCTGTGTGAATGACCAGGCAATCGCTCACCTGCTGAAGTTTAGATAGATATGGACTATTTCTTACGTTTAATACAATAAAAACATAACACTGTTAACAATAAGGTCTGTGTATTATCAAATTGCAATTCTGCAAGTAATTGCATTGAGGTGGCTGCCGTTCTCCCTTAGAGAGTGATATTATAAACCTGAGCAAAGAAAATCAAAATATCCTTTTGACTAGAGAATACCATAAGTTAATGTTTCACTTTGTTTGGGTTAGTCAACTCTTCAAACAATAACGAATGGAGGCACCAGTGTAAAGCCACAAATGATTTTGATGTCACAAAGTTTAACTAGTGCAAAATTCCTTCCGAAGAAATCCGACAGCCCATCACTGTATGCATCCTGGAGTTTATTGTGAATAGTTGGCGATATGTGATTTCCATTTATCTTTTTGCATACCACCTAGCGCACATCCCTAGGAAACATAATAAATGGTATAAGTTGACGGATAAATTGTCGTTTAAAATCTGCAGGGTTGTGGTTCCATATTCATCAATGAATGAAAAGCAAATCCCTATTGAGTCACATTAGATATTACCGCAGTTTTCAGGAAAATCCTAAACAACTATAGAGACCAACAATATTATACTGCAGTGTTCCAAATGTGACAGCAACACGATACAGTAGTATTATGTGTATATTGTCATCTCTTTATTAACTGGGCGACACTTGTCTTGCTGGTACAGTAAACGGAAAAGTACAGAAACTAAAGAGGTGAAACATTGAACGGTGATGTTTGCAAACCGTTAAAGCTAGAGTTGGGTAATATTGAAGTAAATAACCCAGATATTCTGACATACTTCCACTACTACAAATGAACAGTTTTTCCCTGTACACTTTTCATGATACGTGTTGTGAACCTGAAAAATATGCGCCAACTGAATCTTATCAGATGCTATCGGTGCAGAGATTGAACAAAACCGTTTTATATATCCTGGAGCATAAATGGATTTTTCTTGGAGAGCCAAAACATTTTTGTTATCTTTTGATACAAGGCGATGCTCCATGATCCCATTACCAAGGTGTGTTCCGACATTGCCTGCAGCAATTGTTTATCTCGCTTGGAGAAACGTTGTACTGTAATAGATGGGTTCCACAACTGAAATGATGTTACTGTAGTTATCCAACTAAGAAAATAAAAACTTGATATAGCTACATGTTTTCTTGTAATCTGATATTTTCTACACAGTGGAAATGTCACTGCATGAATTTGAGCCACATTGTGCAAATCTGCATCTGTTCACATTTCACCATTGTGGCCCTCCATTTACACATGTTCAGCAGTAAGAGATACTTTCTTGTTTCAATGTACTGTTTTAAATGTAAAAAGGTCCCTTCTGCAACAAACGAAGGACCATTAATTATTATGTTGTGCTATTATTTTTAATAATCTGCCAAAATGGACCAAATTCATTTATTAAATCCTTACTCTACATTAATTCCTATCATGTGATTTTCAAGCCAATTAACCTAGCTCCGATGAATCATTGATTATATTCTGTACGAGAAAATCTGCACTTTAAAAGCACTGCACTAATAATGTGTTGATTTAAATATATATATAATTTTAACTGCACAATTGAATACTATTGCAAACGCCAAAATATAGGTCACTCACCACCACCAACCAAAGTGTGTACAAATCTCAACCAAATGTCTCTGCGATAACAGCTTGAAAGGATTAATGTCGTTCTTGAAAGGATTAATGTTGTTCATTCAAGAGTTTATCAGATTACAAACTAGCAGAGGTGGAAGAAGTACTCAGATCGTGTAATTAAGTAAAAGTAGAAATACCACAGTGTAAGCATACTCTGTTACAAGTAAAAGTCCTGCATTAAAAATCTTTCGTAAATAAAAGTAAAAATTATGCAGTTTGGCTAATATAATATATATGTTGTTCTGTTTATAGTCATTGATACATGTTTGCGTTTATCAAAGCTGGTAAATGGGCAGCCAGTTTTAATTGATTTGTATACTGCAGGTTAGCTTGTGAATTGACTTTAGGTGTAACTAAAGTCTTATTTAAGAGTTGATTATATTTCACACCATTAATCCAAATCTGCAAAGTAACTAAAGTTATTAAATACATGTAGATGAGTAAAAGTCCCTCAAAATTGGACTTAAGTAGTATTTCAGTAAATATACCTAGTTACTTTACACCACTCACTATCGTTAAAGCCAAAATATAGGTCATTCACCAACACCACCCAAAAAGTGTACAATTCTCAACCAAATGTATCTACGGTAACAGCTAGAAAATATTAATGTCATACATTCAATAGTTTATCATATTACAAACTAGTGTGTGGGTCTGAACATTGAAAGAGTGAAGTGGAAGGAATCCCTGCTTCACCCTCATATGAACTTGTAAGGCCTTTAACTCACTATAACTAACGATGGGAATTGACAAGCTAATGCTGATTTCACTTACCTTTGCGAGCAATTTAATACAATATCGTGTTCGTTAAGTTATCTCTGCTGCATATGAACCGTGTAATTGATTGCTACGAAGTTAAACAAAATACTGGTGGAGCTTAATGACATTCGTTAACAAGCGAACAAAGCAAAGGCCAGAAAATCCCCGGCCTCGAGTTTAGCTTCGCCTCACTGCCTGCGACTTGTAGCTTGCTAATATAAATGCAGGAGCGTGCGTTAACTGCCGACAAACGTGCCAACATGGACGGTTGAAATCAATTAAACGAGGCCACACGCATACTTAATAGCTAGTAAACATTTTATATATGAATTAGGCAGTATGAAGCTACGCAGTACGGTATCTCTTGTATGTAAACACTGACCGTCAGCCCTGCAGCAGGGCTTGTTGTTGTCGCCTCTCCTCCCTCCGGGGCGGCCAGGCCGATGACGCTCACCGCCCGCACCGTGCCCCGCAGCCAGTCCCGGGCCCAGGCAGCCTGCTCTGGCTCGGATCCATTTGCAGACCTGCCGTCGTCGAGGAGCAGAAAGAGACGCTTTCCTATCAGCTCGAGAGAGTCCCCCATGATTTTGCTCGCAAGCTAGCTGCCTTCAGTGAGACACCGTGAACAGAGTAACTTGGGACGGGAACTCCAGACCACCAAGCAGCAGCGGGGACTCTGTGTTTAATGTAACTACCGGTGCACCAGGTGCACGCAGCGGCGGACCGGGGCACGCCGGGATTAAACGCAGTGGAGATGTTATTGTCCTCGGTGCTAACGCGACTATCCTGCTCTGTCCGCCATTGAGCCCTGCAACAATCAAACGCACTCCTCGTAGACAGGCAGCACTGCGGAGACAGAGAGCCAGCACGTGCGGAAACAGCGGCCTCCAGCGGCTGGCCTGCAGGTGGATCCGGTTATGGTTATCATCGAGCACTGGAGGGTGGCAGTTGTCAGGGTTTTCCGCAGTGTTAAGTGTATTGTCTCTCCTGATATAAGAGGTGGAAAAGTACTCAGGTCTTGTAAAGTGAAAGTACCAGAGTGTAGAATACTATGTATACAAGTACAATTCCTGGAATCAAAATGTTTCTCAAATAAAAGTAAGTAGAAAAGTACTCATTATGCAGATTGGCCCATTTCATAATATCAAATGTTTTGATTATAGTTATTTATGCATTAAAGGGGACCTATTGGTCAAAATCCACTTTTTCATGTATTTTAGACACAAACATGTGTCCTCCTCTGTGTAAAGAGATTCTGAAAGTTTCAGGAAAAAATATTTGCTCACTTTTTTTCCAGGTCCATTTATATAAAAACCTGTCTGAAAATGAGCTGATCAGATTTTGGCCACTTTATGATGTCATAAAGATTTTTTTGGCTCGTGTAACCATTAGCTTACTGTATACTGCAGGGTAGTACCTTGTCTTATGTAAATGTTGATTATATTTTTACATTATTAATCCCAGTCTGCAAAGTAACTAAATATATGAAATGCATATAGTGGAGTAAAAGTATACAATTTAGTTCTGAATTGTAGTGGAGCAGAAATACAAAGTAGCAACAAAATGAAATACTCAAGTAAAGTCCCTCAAAAAATTCTACTTGAGTACAGTCCTTGAGTAAATCTACTTAGTTACTTTATACCACTGCTCTCCTGATATCAAAAATGTAATCTGGTTTGGGTCACTTATAATTCACAAATGACATGTCAATGTTTGTTATAGAGGTATCGTGATACATTGGATTAGGCTACATACACAAAGTAAACTAATCTGAATTGAAGATTTTTGGATTACTTTCTTGGAATAGCTTTAGAAATATGGCACCCATACTTACAATAATGGACGCATTCACAGCAATTTGAATCCCCCAAATATTCAGCCTTTCTTTTATAACATGTTTAATGCAAATATTATTGACTTTGCACATTCAGCATTTCATTAGTACACATTATTTATCATGAATACACAATACAAAATTTGCCATCTTTTAAAGATCTATGTCAAAGTGTTTACATAATCTTTGTATTTCCTTATAATTAAAGTGATCTTGGCTAGAAGTTTCACACTGCTGAACAAAGCAGATTGTCTGTTTATTATTTAATAATTAAGTTTTATTAGTAGTCATTCTCGTGTATGACCCCTAGGAGATGCTACAGCCCCACACACATCAATGCAATGCAGTTAGGAGTATTTCTAGGGATGTTCTGCCAGAGTGAATTTATCCATAAAGAAAAGGTTAATATCTACACTCCTTTATTAAACATCCAAATACGTACATATATTAGCCTGGGACCACGAAGCACCGAGTTTTCAAAGTTTAGTATGAGAGATATTTTGGAGTACAACTGAACTCATTTTCATCTATAAATATGTAGAACTGCAACTTCTATTTTGGTGAATGCAATGCATCGTACCCTTTTCCCACCATGATATTTATGGCTGTGTACTTACTTACGTTTTGGCTTTGAGTTCTTTGGACACAAATAAAGAAGTGTCAATTCTAGTCTAATAATTCTCTGGCATACACAAATAAATTGACTTTGTCTTTTAGGATTGCAAATCAGGAATATTTTTTGGTCTCATAAGAGTTTTAAATAAAGACACTTGCTTTAAATAATAACATTTTCCAACTGAAAAGCCATACAGGTTACATGGAATTTTTTATGTGAAAAACACACTTCCATATTTATTCACCCGTTATACAAGTAGAGATACATCATACAGTATATACAAAATCTCAACATTAAAATATCAAAAGAGACGATAATACAAATATTTTTCTTTCTTTCTATAAAAACCTTTCTTAAAATAATACAAAATATGACAGCGTCTTTGGACTAGCTCAAAAGTTCAAGTCAGCTATTATGTGTTTCTTGTAAAGGCCGATATTTAAAAACTTGGGTGTGAGGTTATTTTGAAAGAGCTACATGTGCCAAGCATGTATAGGTTCTCTAAGACAACTTATGCCCCTGTGCCTTTAAAAGTAAGCATGTGCAAGGACCTTTGTGTGCCTACATGTAAGAGTGTGTGAACGATTTGTGACTCTGGTGTGCCAGTATCAGTGTACAGATTAAATGCAAATGTTTTTAAGGAGGAACCACAATAAGTCTCAAACAGGTCTTTGAGGAGGAGCATTTGTCCTCTAAAATGTTCTATTTGAATCACAACCATTTATGGAAGTGGCTTTTTATCTGATCACATTTAAAGTGTTATCTCAAACATAACTTCCTAATGCTCTGCTACACTCTGACTTCAATGTCCTTTTAGTGCCATTAAAACACACCCAAAGGAAATCTAATACTAGTGAGCAGCAAGTCTTTCATTTCCACAATTTGACTATGACAAACATCTTTGCATTAACAAGGAAATGCTCAAGATTGCAGCAATATTTCTCAGTCCAATAGTCATAATGTGAGAGTCCCAGTGTTGAGTACTGGCAGTATCTGTGCTTGTGTGTTACTGGAGTCTCATACAGCTCTGTGATACACATGTAGTCTGTTCCTCCATCTCCGGGCAGGGGACGCCAGCATTGGCCGGCCGCAAGAGGATGTACCGTGTGCGGTGGCGGACACCACCTCTGGAGCAGGAACCAAGACACAAGCCCCAGGATGACCAGAGAGACACTTCACAGTCCAATGGTGTCGCTGTATCAAGGGGAACGAGATGTGAGAAAAGTACAGTATGGGTGAGTAAAGAGAGGAGAGCAAAGAAAGTACAAGTACAAACCTCTTCATAAATAATGTTTGTATTTGTATGTTGTTGTAGCATCTGTAGATAATGCAGAACTCTCAAAGTTGGACCATATTATAACTTTTACGCAGGCATGACATGAAAATTCCAGGTCACATTGAGTGAAAAACATTTTTTTAAATCTTTTGTAATCATAAATTAAGGTCCCCCTGCATCAATAAAGTACATTTTGAAAAATAACAGAAATTGTGTGAGTCTGGTCTGTCCTACATAATTATTCCTGTCACTTCTCTACCATGATTGGGATACACAGCTTTTTCAAGTTTCCCATGATAGGATAAACGATTAATGAACATTCTCCAATATCAACTTTTTGTCACAATGTTTGATTAAATCCTACATCGTCCCATCCATACCCTCATGCAATGCAAATCAATTTAACAGGATTTATCATTGTTGTTCATTAACCTGTGTTCCCCAATTCATTTAAAAGCATCATGATTACATTCCAGGTAATAGTTTTGGGTAATACTGATGTTGGGAGTCCTGTGGTCTTACCTGAGAAGTGCCGGGGAATGATAGAGTTTGGCAGAATATGATTGGACATTGGGGTTTGACGGTCAGATGATCTTCTCTGTCGCGTGATCTTTATGCTGGCTATAGGTGGAAGGTCCTTTAAACGTGGATAGTAAAAGGAGTTGGCTGGATGGTTGGGCATCTCAGATGTGATCTAAACAAGTCAGCAAAGAACAGTCAGGCATAATTCATCAGGAGAGCTGGCTCAAGTTCAAATACACAATTGCCCACTATAAAACACATGGAAGGATAGATGGTCTAATATGTAAGAGAGGCCCTATTTACCCCAAATCAATTCGGGTTAGGCATGAAGGCAGCCAAGCAATTACTTAAGTGCAGACAGCTTAGAATGACGCCCCATTCCCATGCTGTTAATTTAAGAAGAGGACCCTTGCCTCACTGTGGAATGAATGACTAAATTAATGAGTTCATGAGGAACCAATGAGGATTTTTATAGTTGTGAAAACTGCAATGCCTCACCTTTGTGATGTTTTCTTGGGGGATGGTGGGGAAGTTTGGAGAAGAGAAAGTGAATCCACTGTCAGTTCCTGCATCATAAGGCTGGAGGTCAACAGTCACTTCCTGTTTCCACTGGCTGCCTTCGCAGAGGTTAAGGCTGTCCACACCGACAAACCAGTCGGGGCTGGGGATGATCTTCACCATCAGGGACAACTGTCGGAAAAAAAGGGAGAATAAAGTTAGATCAAACTTTATTATTAACATACATTTTACAGGTAGACAGACAGTAGAAGGAGCAATAAAACAGCAAGATTAGACACGCAAATTAACAGATTATGTTTATAAACCTAAATTACTTCATAAAATCAGTATTTATTAATCATTTTGATTTCTCAAACATCTCAAACATGACTGTAACAAATTGAAGAGCAAGGATGCTAACTTATAATCATTTGTATGCTTAAGTTAAACTAAGATGGTGAACATGGTAAACATTATAACTGCTAAACATGTACGTGTTAGCCTTTAGCCCAAGGGACTGCTGTGCTAAAGCACATATGTTATTTATTTATTTTCCAAGACAATTGTTTTGATGTGGATCTCTGGTCTTTATTTGCGTTGTCAAATTATAACTGTAAATTACACTTAAACACAATTGTAGTGAAATACTTAATTCACGAGGAGAGCTGTGCATAGAAGAGGTAAACTAATAAGGACAGAAATGAGTTTAACACACACTCATGTCATCCTGATTTATAAACTTTGTACCTTGTAATACAGGCACTGGGGACTGCATGTGTGCGCATGAATGCACCCACTCAGTTTCCTGTGCGGAGTTAGACTCTGTCTCCTGTGTGATGGATGTTTCCTGAGAGCTGGTGACCTCATACAGGAAGTGGCCTGGGGGTCAGCATACACTGAGGTGGCCGACGCCCAGAAAGCAGCTAATTTGAAGGCCAATGCGGACCACTCTTTGAAGACTTGGACCGATTTGCTAAGGGTTGGTTGGGTGGGCTGGGAAAGCTTTGAATGGAGAGGAAAGGGCGGCCTAGAGTAAAAGGATAGGAGAGAGCTGGAACAGACATCAAACCAGTTCAACAGGCAGATAGGACCACTCGGGACAGAAGCAGGTAGTCAGCTTTACACATGGGGTCTGTTTCTGGCCCGTGACACATGGCAAGAAACAGAGACACCAAATCAGAAGCAGCTTTGTTGCTTTTCACAATCGTTCCCTGATCCCCTCTTTCCTTCCGTCCTTCCTTCCTTCCTTCCTTTCCTCCTCTGCTCTGCTAACACCACTGCCTCCTCTTGTCCTTTTTCATGCTCGTCTCAAACAACACATTTCCTATCCTGCTATATCCATTTGGTCACTCAACAAAGATGTCTACTCAGTGGAATCCCTTGTTACTGCCATGATCAGTCCTTGGTGGTTTGCAATAGGCCAGCATGTACTTTAGCACACAGATACTCAAAGCTCCCATGAAACCTCCCTCTTTCTCCATCTCACCAAATCTTCTGCAGAGCCGCGGAGAGAACGAGTCGACCTAGGAAACCCACGAGTCCAGTTGCACAAACACCTTAATGCTCGTTCGTTGCTGTCCCATTGTCTGTGGCGCCACTGATACAAAATACTTTCATGATAATGCCAATTTCATCCTGCATGGTACTCATTTGCTGTTAATTCTGTGTATCTGTTTTGAATTACACATATAACAGGAATAACAGGAGGCTCATGAATATGGAGATAGAAATCATATGTGTTTGGGATTTTTGAGGCATTGCGTATGAATGTTTAGTTTGTGGGGAACAGGATAAGGATGGGATTCATACATGAGTGTGCAAGAAAGAGAAGCATGAGGACAGAAAAGAAGAACAGCAGATGAAGCTGTAAACATCATGCAGCCTCTAACTGTGAGGTTTGAAAACAAACACAAACACAACTTATTGTTGCCGCTCTGTTAGCTGATCTAAAACCAGACGGATCCATTTTAAAGCAGCCACAGACAAGATAACAAGCTGTCGAGCTGCTGTTTTTGACAAGTACTTAGCAAAGATGCCTCAGACAGGGATTGTTTATGTTTAAGGAACAAAAGAACACAGGGGCCTTATTTTTAAGGCCCCTGTGTTCAGGGAGTGGAATAACCAATAAACACATGTAGGTCACCAGACTTTCCCAAAAATTCCAGTGAAGTTCCGCCCTTCATTTTCAACTTGTTTATCAGGTACATGTTTTACACATTAAGGATAATTAATTTCAAGTTTGACTGTCTGGATAGTATGACACATTTTTCCACAGTGCCATAACTCATTTCTACTTTCAAATCTGCCTTTGTTTAAACCCTAAGATCACATTAAGTTATCCCAACTATCCAAAACACACTCACTTTGCAGTGGCAGTGGTAACCTGAAGTCCAACGTTGAGCAAAGTTGGCATCGAGTTTGAAGCAGTCCACCTTTATAAGCTTTAAGTGAGGCCAAGAAATAGTCCAGCAGATAAACCAGTGGAACATAGCACAATGTAATGTTGTACTCTTATTCTTTACAAGTTAATAAATTGTGCACATTCTGTACCTGTCATACTGATCTAGGATAGCTGTTTACCCTGTTTCCAGTCTTTACGCCAAGCTGAGTGGCTTCTTGCTATAGCTTCATATCTACCCTACAGAGTAGCCTACGAGTGTTATCGATCTTCTCATTTAACTCTTGAAAGAAAGTGGATAAACTTGTTCCCCACATTGCCAATCTATCCCTTAAACTGTACTTAATCCTGAGCTCCCAGAGTTCAGAATCGGGACAGGCAGCAGACGGAGGGCAGACCGCGCAGGATGGATGTGGGAGTTTGTGGCTGCAGGGCTTCAGCACTTGGGCTAAACATAGTCTGATTGGATAGTGGAAAGAAGTGGTGAAGTGGTTGGTTGGAGAAGGATGTTTGGATGACGTTATGAGGAGGCCCGGGTCACAGGATGACTCAATAGATTTTGTCAAAGTGTGTGTGACAGACTGTGTCTGAGCATGTGTGTCATTTGAGAATGAGCTTTTAATTGTACGATGTATTTGTGCCTACCAGTGAGTTTCGAGGCTGAGTGAGCAACTCTGTGGAGCTGTGCCCGATGCCGTTAGGGATGCCGGCAGTTCGATACATGCCGCTGACCGCACGCCTCTTTCTGGCCTCCTTCGCCGCCTTCATCAGTTCCACCGTCACCCCGATTTCAGAAAAGTTCTGCACCCCTGCACTGGCTGGAGCACCCTCCTCCCACAGCCGAAAATGGCGATTATGGCTTACCGCTATTTGGGAGAAAAGAAACACAAGAATGAGGCGAAGACAAGAGTAAGATGCTTATTCACTGGAATGCATATCAATGTCATACCACAGAGCCTTAGCCAGACGGTGAGATCATTTCCACCTCGGAGCCTGTGTCTATTTCTATGGCTGCCTCCTACATCCTGCAATTTAAAAGACAATTCTGAAGGAATTGCCCACATGCATGTCTTATGGCATTATTGCACAGATATAGTTTCATTTTTTCTTCATCTATCACTGATAAAACCACGACACAGGCTGGAGCAGCCAGGAGACGGGGCAGGATGTCAGTGTTTTTAATCATTGTGAAAACCCTTATTGATACTTTTCATTCCCTTGGGCCAACAGAACCATTTGCTTCACATTCTCATATTTAGGTCTGGTTATCTAAAAAGTCTGTTGAGAATCAAGGGACTGATTTGGGTTTAATTGTTTACACCGCAGATTCTGAAGCTCCGTATTATTGAAACCCACAGAGCCACTGGCCCAGTCCGGTGGGTGTAAGGGCAGGCTAAGGTTAGCCAGAACACGCTGACAAATGCTCTGAAGGTTCTGCCTTACCTCACTTTACAGAGCACATGCACAACCTTTATTTATACTTAAACACTCTTGACACATGTGTTAACACACACTCAGCCCCACACACACACAACCTGCCCAGCACACTTCACACACTATCTTCTTTCTTCCCTAACTGCCATTACTTACGCACTTAATTGCATTTCCATCCTGACAAATCTCCCACAAGCGTCAAGACCTTGAAACTTGAGAACACGTCACATTTAAGCCCCACCAAGACATTAAAACCCACTTCCTGACCTGCCTTAATTGCTCGTGTTTTTTCTGTGACCATGACAAACTCCATTCCCACTCTTCTCTGGCAGTGTCCTTGTTCCTTCGCCCCCAGGTCTTCACAGTAAAGCAACACAAAACTATCACACCCTTCAACAGGTTATGCTTTTATTTGTGCTCCATTTCCTCCATTTCCCACCATTTCTTGGCCAATACCAGCACACTGTCAGCCCATTGAGGCCCTTCTGTTTTGCTTTGCTTGTGACAAAGCCCATTCGTTGCCCCCCTCCAGCACCAAAGGGACGTTACAAGCCGCCACAATGGGTGTGTGGATCTTCGGGGCCTGTTTCTGTGTGGAGTAAGTGGCCCGTCATCCTGTGGCAGGCTGGCAGAGCACGAGAGGGAGAGCTAGAAACCAGACAAAGCCACTGACGCCACAGACACTGATGCACAAGACACACACACGCGCGCGCGCGCACACACACACACACACACACACACACACACACACACACACACACACACACACACACACACACACACACACACACAAACATCTGTCATCCATTCCATGCTCCCTGGATTGGGGGGGGAAAGCAGAATAGAAAGGCCTCAATTGCTCCTTCAATGTGACCCCACCACACCCCAGCTATCATCACCCACCTTCACCAGCCTCTAAACCACTACTCCAGTGTTTAATGCCATCACTGTGGTAGACCAGCAGAAAGGTTGGGATGTTGAGTGTAGGGTTGAGTAAACAAAATTAAGAAATGTCTGGATAGACGTTAGAGAAAACCCCACCTGGAAGCATTTAGACCATCTTTCTTATTGCTTCTTGTCTAATGTCTTTTAACCGTGGTCACTATCACAGCGATTGCCACCACAGTGGGAATGGTTTGTCGTCTCTTTAACACATAGCTAGGCATGGGAACGTTTTGACTAAGCAGGGTTTAAAAACAACCTTTGACTCCTTACTTCGTCTAAATATCATCTAAATTCAATGATTTGCCAGGTTTTTGAGGTAAAACGTTGGCTGATTTTATAGAAACCAAATGCTTTGTGTTCCTCACCTATGAGTTTGGACCACTGTGCAGGTGGCCGGAACAGAGGGTACTGCTTGGGGAAGGCATGTGGGCTCCAGTGACCTGTAAAGACCAGGATGTAGGAAGCAGGGCCCTTGGCTGTACATTCGGTCCCATTGAGTGGTCGCAAAGGCCCGGCAAAAGTGAGGCAAAGCTTCAGAAGGACAATGAGCAGCTGCTGCAGCCAACCGCAGGTCAGGTGCTCTGATGACATCATCTAAAAGAAATGGAGATAAATGGTTGTGAATTAGTTTTCATGATTAACATTAAACGTTTGGTGCATTTTATGTTCTATTTTTTTTACGTCCGTTACCACTGCAACCCATACCAACAATAATCGGATTCCGTCTTTTTCTTTCTCTTGGACTACTAAACTGTTATTGATACATTTATATGGATGCACTTTGCTGATCGAGTCATCTAAAAAATATCCTGCTCATGCTTTATAACAAATATTATTCTCCTGTAATTAAAGAACTACATAGCCCACAACATGACTCATATACAACACTGCTGCTTATTCTTATTAAACATTTTCACACAAATTTGTTTTATAGTTTTGGCAGCTAACCCCAACCTTGGCATGACATCGTTTTCCATCAGCAAGCAGATGAAAGGATGTTGACATTTAGGAAACCAAACCCAAACAAAATCAGTAAAAAAGAAGGAAATTCCATGTGCCTGCCCTCATATCTCAACACAACAATTTTATCGCAGAACAAAGCTGATTGAACTCGTTGACAATGGAGGCTTTGATTTATAAAAAAAAGAATGCCCCAATCCCCTTGGATTGTATGTGTGGTTAACACTCCCCGATGTTAATGTTTGCTACAGAAGCCGGCCTAAAATAAAACAACACGGATGACATCTCTGAGAATAGATGGAAATCCAGTCTGCTCTGCTGCTCTACTGACCTCACCGACTGACCATCCACTGACCGCCGGCTGCTGAGTCAGACGACTCCATTAAGAGAGGCAGAGAGGGGAGCAGGCCATGTGCAATAAGAGTGCTTCAAACACATGTGAGCCGTTGTGTAGGGTAAGACAAGGGTTTTTGCTTGATGACAAGGGAAATGAGCTACTTGTATCCGCTATGCAACCTCCCCTTACCTCTGAAAACGAATCCTTCCATCTCAATCCTCCTCTACACCTTCTACGCCCAAATTCACGATCTATCTCCGCTCTACAGACTTTATAATGGAGCAAGAACTACAAACAAACTATTCTATTGTCTTTGAGATCTGTAACAAACCCCCCATCTTAATGTACCCCAGACTTGTGCTTTTAAAGCTGTAAAACAATAATGGCAACCACCAAAGTAATTTGGCAACCGGTTGACACAGTTTTATTGTTTCCATAAAAACATTCAGAAGAATAGAGACGTCATTTGTTTGAGTGGTGTTTTTGTTCAATTTGCAGCTCTGAAGACCAACGTACGTTTTAATTACTTTGGGCAAAAACAAACTGCAAAGTGTTATATCTCTGTTTTTCCTATTCATTCGCTTGGCCAGACGTAAGCGTGTGGAGATCATGTGCTGGTGAGCGTGAGTTTATGTCTGTCCATTGTTCATCTTGCATAATAATGTACTAATCAGGCAAATATTTTCAGTGTTCATTTATGACTGTATGCTCAAGAGTTCTTATGGTTGGGGTGAAAATGCAACCATATTTTATAGAAAATTTGATACGCCATTTTCTGCTGAATCCTAACCTGGGCAGGCTGTGAGCGATCAACTATTGTATGAGTTCAAACCTTTTCCCAGGGATATGGAATTATTCCTCTGTGTGTTTTTTGGCTACGGTAAGACAATGGTGGTTGTATTATTTTCATCAAAGATTAAAGCAATCTTCATTTCAAAAAGGGCTCAAAGCAAAAGCAATCATGTTTTTGGGAGTATCGGTTTAGCCAATGAACCAAGCGCTGACTACAGAAGAGCGCATCCTCTAATGTTGGCAGGAGGAGAGCATTAGCCGAGGACAGCAGGGTCCTACGGTGAGTTGGGCTAATCTGAGCAGACAGCTGCACAGATTACAGGAGAGAATGCCTATTGAGTGAGACGTTCAAACGTAAAATTCTGATAAGATTACGGTGTAGACAGGGGACAATCAAACATTACAGCAGGGGTCAATGCAGACACACCTGGCTGAGATCTACACCCTGAGTGCACTTTTTCTAAATGGCAGATGTTAGAGCTTTCAGATAACCGGTTATGACTTGATGACAGATACATTTCTCTGTGTTTGGGAGAACGACGTTTTGTGGCTGCGGCCTTGAGTGGCGTTTCTATGGGATACTTTACTATAACTAAACCTCCAAGCAGCTGCAGAATGCAGACGGTTAAATTTGGGCAGGTCACACACACACAACTGATGCATGTTACATTCATGTCCAGCTGCACATTGTCCCTGAAGTCTATTTACAGAGGTCAGATAGTATTACTCTGCTGCAAAACTCCAACTCTAACTCTTCGGACCGCAGCCTATGACATCACTGTGTGCTTTATCATTATTTACTGTCTCCTATTAATGTATATAACCACAGCACAGTTTTAACAACCCACTAGGAAAATACCTTGAGTACAGAGAAACGCAGAGCCCAGCTTTGATCTCACTGCTCAGTCATCTGATCATTACACAGGCTGCTCAGCAGGAGGCAGATACAGCTCGTGGTTGAGATGCCTCAGATGCAGCGAGTTCTTAAAAAGTACCTTTCTTTCATTCTGTTTTTGTCACACTGATAGTATTGAATTGTTCACACTTGTGACTGAGCTGTGTGTTCTCGGGTTAATGGAAGTTCACCACATGGAGGTTTTTCACATCAGTATGTGATGTTAACTGCTACTGTCCCGTCTGCTCCTTCTCTATGTTTAGAATATAAAGAAGGTCAGGCATGCCACCGACTGCCGCAAAGTTACAATTTTTACGCACACATTCCAGGCAGGGGCATAAACTAGAAATACCCCGCATGAGATTTGATGCACACCGAACCTTTCTTTTTTTGAAAATGTTTTTGTTTTAAATGTGATACCTGTTACTAAAAAATGAATCAGACTCTACACTAAGATTTTGATCCCTTTTGATTATTTTCCCTTAGAGCTTGTCCCACTGATACTAAAAGGCATTTTTTGAATTCCCACACTGACCTTTATCAGTCAACACACACAGGCCTGCGACCAGCAATGTCTGAGCTGCAACTCCTGAAAATACTTATACAGTTATAGTAATAGACTGGACGGTGTTTATTGATGCTAACAGAGGGCACGCGGTTATTTTCAGTCGACACAAGGTTTATCTATGCACTCAAACAAAACAGACCTGCTCTCGCCAGTCAACATAGACAGACACACACAGCAGTTTTTCTGTCAGACACAAGATACAATAAAACAAGGGGGATGTGGCGCGGAGCCAAATGTGGCGGCTGCCGCCCCATGGGCACCTTCTCTGTGTAATTAGAGCAGACTCATGCAGCGATAAACACACATTCATCTCAGCTCATATACACAGGCATGCAGGTATGCATGCGAAAGCACAGATTTGCGCTCACAGCGGGAGTTATATTTTTAACTAGGGGATGGTGAGGAGGTAATTTGATGTTTTTCCTTAAGATACAAAAAAAAAACTGTTGTTGGGGGGGGGGGCAGTGGTAGTTGCATGGGTGAGAGAATAAATGCAGGCATGCATCACAACAGGAGGTCAGAAACTTGACTTTTCAAGTTTAGGCGGAGGTGAGTCAAGAAAGTTTAGACATCAATGGATAAACAGAGCATGTACCTGTATATAGTGTAGAAACGTAACCAATGAGGCTAAAGCAACTGTGATGGCAATGTGCAAATACATTTAATTATCAATATAAGATAAGTTGTGTGAAATCAGTGCAATAGTTAAGGGTTGAGATACATGAACAAATACTTTCAATACAAAGGTTGCAATTCTAACAAACAACTATAAACGTGCACATTATTCTCTATGTTGTGAATTCAGTGGTGGAAAATAGATTCAAAAGATTTTGTGGTACAATGTTGTCATACTAATACACAACTTGAGTATTTCCATTTGATGCTAATTTATACTTGTGCTCACATGTCAGAGAAATGTTTTCTAATCTTACACAGATCACTGACGGCAGTAGTCCGGTTACTTTGCAGGCTATGATTCTACACCTCATGATGCTTTTGGAAAACATATAATATACTATGGATACAATCACTCAAGCAAGAAGTTAAAATCATCACCTCATGTCACCTTTACTGAACATTTCCTGCAGTACTGCATGCCTTTACTGAAGTCTCACATGTCCAAAGAAGCATTCACGCTTACATGTGCACTCTCAGGCTCTCGTGCGGTACCATGATAAATGAATGGAGTCTCTGTGTGTGTGTCCTACCTGTTTTGGGTAAGCCAGTCAGTGGCAGGATGAGAAGCTGCAGAATCACACCGTTGGGACCTGAGAGAGGATACAGCTCCACTCTTCCTCTCTTCCTCTCCTCTGTAACCGGCTCTCTGGTGCAGCCTTATCAACCTTTATCCCTCTATCCTGTGTCTTTCTACCCTTTCTCTCCTCCTCACTCCTCACTCTCTCATAGTATCTCCTAATATTACCTCTCTTTCCCTCGCTGCCTCTCGCTTTCTCCTCCTCTTTTCTCCCCCTGCCTTTCCTTGTATGGAAAGGCAGTTAACAGCCTCCCTTCTCTCCTCCACTGTCCCTCTCTTCTCTCTCTCTCTTTCTAGTCTTTCAGTGGCTGTGTAAACTCAGCAACCTCATTGCTGACAAGGTAATCAACACCACATTGGCTTCTCTTAACATTCACCACTCAGCATTGTGTATTTTCTTACTCTGTTTTTCTGAGCACACTTTCGGACTCGAGCAGTGTGGGTTTCTGAATAATGGCAGGAGAAATAGGGAGAAATGAGGCATAGGTGTTACGCAAATACACGCAAAATGGATAACCGACGAGTGGAGTCTGTACAGAAGCACAGACTTTTATTTCTGCAGTTCATTTACTGATTGGACTTTGTGGAGAGTCAAAGAATTTTTAAATGGTTGCCGTCTCTTTCCCCCTATTCAGATATTTCTGACCTGTGGCAGATCCAGCTGTGATCTCAGCAGAGAACCCCCTTTTTCCTGGGTCAGAGTGTGAGAGTGTGTGTGTGTGTGTGTGTGTGTGTGTGTGTGTGTGTGTGTGTGTGTGTGTGTGTGTGTGTGTGTGTGTGTATGTGGTCACCAGTTCCCACAGCTGGTACACACATGGACAACCAGGGAGGTTTCTGTTACTGGACGCCCCTCGCTTATCAACATGTCAAGGCTCTGCAGTGTGGTTGTGTGTGTGTGAGAGAGACATCAATAGGAACTTCGGTCACTTTCCTAATAATTTTTCCAAGGCTATGACGCAACAAAGCAATTATCATTTTATTCCATCAAATAGTTTCACCACACACACACACACACACACACACACACACACACACACACACACACACACACACACACACACGGTCGTGATGTAATGCCAATTAGAGACAGCCAGCCTTAAGATCAGCACTATCAATTGACCTGGCTAACATCAGCCAGCCCTGAAAGACAACTCCGCAATTATACAACTGCAGACCTTTAAATCTACTCGGCCACGTCACTGTATGGCTTGCCTGTGAGCTTTCCAAGAATGAGGGAGACGAACAGGAGCAGACAGACGAAAAGGATGTGGATCAGGGAACAACTTGAACTTTGCCGTTATAGACAAACACATCATCCATCCATATCCTTCTATCCAGCTACCCATCCATCTATCTGCCTTTCTATCTCATCAGTTGAAAGTAGTTTACGGAAAAACCCTAACTTCCCTGCGGCTACCCGCTGATTAATGACAGTGAGCTCAGCCTCCAGATTGACTCACATTATTGTGAAACATTAATGACACACTGTCAGATACACAGGTGTGTGTGAGCGCACAGTGAATACACAGAAATGCTTGAAGTCTGAACTCATGTGCCTGCCAACCTAGGCAGGAATTGATGAGTGCCTTTCGTTACCAGGACACACTATCATACCGTTTATAGTAAAACCGCACTCTTCAGCACACAAACACAGCGGCTAGCATTAGGACACCAGATACGGAGCAGAATGGCTGCAGGTTGCCTGACTGACGCACATCTCCAAGATAGCCGAGTGTTTTCTTCCTGTCAACCACATGCTCACGTGTATGTCACACAAGCCAAGTGAGTAAATCAATGAGAGGAAAACCATGAGCTAATGACAGAGCGTTGGGCCAAGGCCATCCTAGCTCCAGTGTATGGATATACAATCTCAGATAAACATGAGCCAAAGAGCAGCATTACAACACAAGGGAAAATTAATACAGATGTTTTAATAACAGTTTGTTGGTTAGATTCCACTTTTTATATTTCCAAATAGTTTTTTATTGACAACAAGTCCTGAGTTTGATTTAAACAGTATAAACTATGTGGGATTGACTCAAAATATATTACAATGGGTGATGGGAATCAATGGGTATTACAATATTTGAGGACAGTTAGAATATACTGAACACAACCAGCGTTATTTTCAAGTCAATAAGTTAAAAGATCCACTGCAGTATCTGTGTATACTGGTGCAGTCTGATGGTGATGCAACATCTGAATCATTCAATAATATTTATTCAATCCAATGACAACCAAAGGTAAATATTTATCCAATCTGCTTCGGGTTGGCAGCACGGTCCCTCCAAGTGGGATAGATCAGAAACTGGGGACAAATGAATCACAAAGACATGTATGCACAAAAACTGTACTGACTTTCTCTGTCTGTCACAAACATGCATGCTTAACTTTCGAACCGTTCTCTTTTTCCACATGACGGCTCAAAACACATTTTGAATTGTAGGTGTTCTATTTTTTGGACCCCAGTTATAGAAACATCACAAGACTGTCATCTTGAATTCTTGACAACACATTTTTTGCATCTTTCTATGGTTAACAAGAAAAGCTAAAAAACGTCTTGATGAATTGAAGACAACGGCGGCCATTTTTAACAAGCGCAAAGCTTCATCAAAACATCAGTTTTTCAAACTCTCACAAAACTTGTCCAGTCTATACAAATCTTAGTCAATTAATCAATCTCATCGTTGATCGTTGCTGCTTCCAAAAAACATTCATTTTGTTACAACCTCGCTATTTAAATCGCTGCTTTCCTGTAAATGGTCATTCAAACCAATTTGTTTAATCGAGTTTGCTGTGGTTAAACCCTGACCCCTTTATTTTTTATTTTATCAAGACTTTCCTTCGTTTTTTGGATTCTTTGTCCGCTGTGGAGGCATGCAGTTTTTCTTCAAGAATTCAATGTTACACAGAGTGAGTTATTGATATACAAACGATTATTGAAGATCATTGAGTATCTCTTTAAAGTATCTCACGTGACCTTTCACCCACTTTGAGTTGTTGTTTTCTATTTTGTGACTCACTGACTCAACCAAACCAATGGAAGTTACCTAAGCATGAGGACCCATTTTACTGATGTCACTGACCCTAACAGCAGCACGGGAACCAGTGCTCCCATTAAACTGGTTTGGCTAGTGTGTTCCCAGACCTAAAGGCATCTGTGAGGCTTTCATGCCCTCCTCCTCCTTGTTCTCTTCTTGGGATAAACAAGCAAATAAAAAGGGAGCTGACAGGGTCAATGTATGGCACTGGGAGAGATGGATGATTCTCCGCTGCACTAGCACAACCTGGAGTGGGACTTAGAAAGCAATGAGTGCGTTTGAAGTGTGTGTGAATCAGGTCTGGTAAAATACTGCTTGCATCCTGGGCCTCCTTTTACTACACACCCTTTTACACATGCTGTTATGTAATATGTTTGTCCCTCACCATGAAGAGTGTTAATGTATATTGACTGATGGTTCAGGATCCATAATGACAAAAATGTAAATAATTATTTATATTGGAAAGATCAATAAGTCAGCTCAGCTTCGACTTGTCTGTTTCTGGATCTAAGGAAATACTGCAAATGGGAAAAAGGTTGTCTCACAGAGGGAGTCTGAAAATATTGTTCCCAATGTCGCTGGGTCTTTATTCCTGCACCGTTTTACATTTGGTATATAGAGTGCATTAGTGCATTCACTCTGGGAAGTATGGCAAAAATGCCCACAATGAGAACCTATAAGGCGAACTCATAAAGGTCAAAAGGCCTGAAGACTTCTCACCCTCTTTGGTCTCCATTTGGGAAACGTAATGGGAGAGGAGGGAATAGCAACAGTTGTGGTTGCTCTCGGGAAAACCGTTATATACGAGTATATTACATAATTAAATGTACACACTTTAAACCACTATAGCCTACTGTTGTTTGATAAAAGCCAGTATGTTTCTTGGTTGATTTAGAAGTCTGTCATGGCTTGGTACCGAGTACAATAACTCAGCTAGCTAGCTGAAAGCGACAACTGTCATTTCCCTGGAGTGCACAAAAGCCATTTGTGGTTTGAGACAACTTTACCCTGTCTAAATGTTTTAACTATGCAAGTAGGCTATAGTGTTTACATTGGAGGCTACTACATGGATGTGTACAAACTGAAGTATCCAAACCTTATACAGTCTATGATCCACACACAGCACCATAGTGGATTTGGGATGAAGACAAGTACGAATTTAGAAAGAGACTAGTGTGGAGAAAGAGGTGAGCTTACCAGATCTCTGCACACCGCCCCTCAAACTGGCAGCTCAACGCTTAATTAGCAGCTGACAGCAAGACACACCTGAATCTGACCTGATGTGGTCAAGTTGCATTGTGGGTAATGTGGGTACCAGATTTCGATAAGAAAAAGAAATGAATGGATTATAAAAATTAAAACTCTGGTTCTGCTGCATCAATTTGGATTAATGAGTCTGAAAATGTTGCAGGACTGCAGTGTTTTTTTTTTTACATTTGTGGCTAATAGCAAAAAGCCCACGTGCCAGATAAAGGGCTGAAAATAGAAATAGGATGTTTAATGAAAATGAAAACATCACCAAGTCAATAAATACAAACTCCATTGCTAACCTTCCGTGAAGGACTCCATGGCGCCCGAGGGTGCCAGCCTTTAACCAGTGGGCTCCACTGGTGGATGGACTCTGAGTGGAGTTCCTTCGCTCCATTTTAAGAGTCGGCTCGTGGTCATGCGCATGTGGTAGCAATTTTGGGGCTGATAATCCTCCGCCCTCCCCTGCGGGTCTACATAGAAGCCCCCTTTCCCGCTCACCCAACCTAGTCTGCCCCCCCGTAAACCTGTGCCCGTTCAGGCACTGCATAATCCTTTGTTGCCATATTAAAAGCGGCCAAAAGTGGTAGTAAATTATGTTGTTTATGGCAAATTTCTGTAAACTCTTTTTCATGAAACTGCTGAGTGTAATCAGTGGGATGACACACTGCCAGAGGACAGGGATTGTCACCATTGGAATCAAGCATGGAACCTTTTCAAGTCAAGTGAACAAAAGGCAGTTACAGGTCCAATACACAACATGATTTCAGACCAGCAGAGCATAACTGTTACCAACAATGTAAATAAAAACAGGAACAAATGTTTAATTTTTAAGATTTTATTAAAATACGGTGTGGAGTTTACCATCGGAAGTTACCATCACAAACATGATTGTTTCTAATAAAAAAGTAAACAAAACAAAA